CATAAGTCCGATATTAGCCCATATGTCCAGTACCAGTCTGGAAATTCCTTTTCAGACTCATGCAACACATGAAATAATGCCGAGTGCAGGAAGATTATAGGCCAGTGGGTGGAAAGTCTTATGGATCCAGTGGTAGTGGAAGCATCTTAGCGCTGGCGTGGGTCTACATGTGGCTCCTCCAGCTCCAAGGCTCTGGCTGCCATCAGCATAGCTTCATGTGGCTTGTCAACAGGAATGTCTCACAGGGAGTGAGTGTGGGCCCTGCCTCCTGCGAGTGATTTATCTCCCTAACGCCTCCAAATGAGGTCATCATGCTGCGACCTGATTTACAGGCTAAATTCCATCCCTTCACTCTTAATAATCTCAAGTCTCATAATTAAAAGATTACGTAACTACCACAGGGAGGGAGGGTAGAGTCATGGACTAGACGGTTGATGGGTGTTGGCTCGGTTAAAGTGGAAGGTGGTGATCCACAGAAGAGAGAAGGCAAATCAAGGGGCAGGGGAAGGAATAAATGGATGGGCTTGATTAGTAATTTAGACTGTGCAAAACTGAGTAACCTATCTGAAGTGGAAAGCCCATCTGCGTTACAATTCAAAATAAAAAGCAAGAAAGCTTTTGTACTATACCCCCATCAGCCAGGATAAAGCATAGGCATCTGCTCTTACAACCCACCTGGGCCTTTCAACAACCCTAGTGGGTGGTATCACCCACTGAGAGAATACTCTGAATTTGACCTTTGGGGCTCCTGAACTGTGATAAGAGGAGCCTTGGTGGCATAGTGGGTTCTACACTGGCCTGCTAACTGCAATATGAACAGTTAAACCTATCGGCCCCTCCCCAGGAGAAAGAGGAGGCTTTTTATGCCCCCAAAGAGTTACAGTCTCAGAAACCCACAGAGGTAGTTCTCCCCTGTCCTACAGGGTTACTATGAATCAACTCTGTGGCAGTGAGTTGGGTTTGTTTGTTTGTTTGTTTGAACTGTGAGAGATTTCTGTTTTGTTACATCAACGCTAAGTAACTAAGATAATCATGAAGCCCAGAAGCGTTGCCGCATGTTTGAACCTCCATACCTCTGAGTCTTAGAGGGCAATGCAACTCAAAACAAAAACTCAAACACAATGCCAAAACAAAAGCAAGGTCATTCGCAGGTATTTCCTTTATTTGCCATTGGCAACTGCTACCACTTGGGGGCTCCAAGCGTCTTCAGCATCTTTCCTTGTTTGCTGGGGCCCAGGTCTCCTTCTCCGAGATCCAGTCATTTGCCATCTTGATTTGTTGCTCTGCAGACTTGCTGGCCCTGGCTGAGCTTTGGTGACGTTGTTCTCCACTCTTCCTCATTAAGTCCATGGGAGGATTTCTTCTACAATTATCTCTCAAGGAGTGAAACCCCTTCACTGAAAGTACTCAAGAAATCGCACTACCATGTTTTCTTCTAAGTAAACCTACGTTACCTAAACAGAGAAACAGTTTAATGCCATTGAAAGAGAATGCTTATGAAGTTAGGAATCCTATTCCACTGACTAGATAGGTCTGTTATCTTGGATGACTTATTAACATCTTCCTGTTTCAAAGAATAATTGTGAAGAAAATAATATAAATACTAAAGGGGGGGCTGTGTGCTCCAAAATGAAGTCACTTATTTAGAACTAGGTTGTTTACTCCTTTATCTTTCTTCCTTAATTGTTTCATGTGGGTTCTCTTGGCTCTAAAATGGATTTTAAAGTTGTGTCAAACTGGTTGCCTCACTTACACTCTTTACCCTCTAAGCGCCCCATTTGGGTGGGTTAACTAAACAATGGCTGATTCCATGCTTGACCTTCACCTCATAAATGTCTTCTCTTCCTCCCCTTTAAGTAGCATTCCTTGACCTATAGAAAGAGTGCTAATAGCTTTTCTAGCATACTATCTCCTATGAAAATAAATCTGTAATTTTAATACACTTATAGTCTAAGTGATGGAGTGGTTACACGCTGGGCTGGCTGCTCCTCGGGAGGACAGGGCTTTCTACTCTCATAAGAGTTAAAGTCTCAGAAACCCCTAGGGGCAGATCTGCCCTAGAGGGTTGCTATGAGTTGGCATCCACTCGAAAAAATAATTTCCGTATAGACACAACAAGAAGACAATTTTGACATCCCCAGAAGGCTACGAGATGACCTCAAAACATGCAACCAATGTCATTGAATTGTGCATGTGGAAATTGTTAAATTGGTATATGTTCCACTGTGTATGTTCTCAGCAACAACCAAAATAAATTACAAAGGAAAAACAAAACACAGATAGAAAAAGAACCTGTCAAATAAGCACAAGAGAGGCCTCTAAAGGACGAACTCTGTCTCCCCCAGCATGAGCCAAAGCAGGAGTGGCCCAAGCTTGTCGTGAATGCTTGATGAACGGGTCTTACAAAAGCTGTGTCATATTTTTGTTGTTTGAAACTCTTAAGAATCATTAAATTAACAAATGACCGATTTCATCCTGAACTTAGTTAAACTTTAGTTTTCATATATAGTAAAAGTTTATGGAGACTACAATTGCATATGCAGTAACATTTATGTGCAGTCCAACCAAGCTGAACAACTGTTTGGGATTTTTGTTTGTTTCTTATTATTAAAAAATTGGAATTCTAGTTTATACAGCAATCTTTTACAAGGATGTATGCCATAATGTTGGCCTTCCCAAATGCACTTCCGGGAACCCCCGGCGGGGCAGTAATGGAAGTGTTTGGGCTGCGAACCACCGGGTCAACCGTTCAAAGCTACCAGCTTCCCGGTGGCAGGAAGATGAGGCTGTCTGCTCCTGGAAGGTGTACAGTCTTGGAAACCCTCTGGAGCAGCTCTACCCTGTGCCAGTGTCCCTGAGTTGGAATAGCCTAGAGGGCAATGATGGAGAACGTCAGCAGTGTGAGCCCAGTAGTCTCTCTGAGGCTCAAGAGGAGGAGGCATCCACCTCGGGTAAGCACCTCCCTGGAAACCCACAGGGGCAGCTCTATGAGTCAGAATCGATTCAGTAGCAGTGAGTTGGGGTTTGTTTGTTTTGTCTGGTTTTTAGTTTTGAAGTCCACTCAACTGTGGACCACTTGATAGAAATGTTTGTCTTTATTAAATAATGACTTAAAACTACTGTCATAAGTTTATCAAAATAATATCAACCTCCCTCGCAGAGCAAACCACTTTGTCCTCCGATCTCAAAGCACACAATAATGGGACGAGATTCATCTCAACTCAACTCACTGCCATTGAGTCCATGGCGACTCACTACAACGTGCGTTCTATAAATTAACTGGTGGGTTTGGTTTTGTTGACTTGCATTGTGATTTGTGAGCATTTATATGAATTAACTCTTAAAACTCAAGTGCCTAAGCCATTTGCTTGGACAGCTTGAAGAGTTAGTTAAAAGAGACCTAGTTACACAGAGGGGTCACAAGGAAGGTGTGAGTCAACCAGAGCGCAGTAAAGCACTGATGAAACACACAATATTCCTCTGGTTCCTTGAGGTTTCCTCACACACACACCCCACTACCATGACCCCAGTACTGCCTTTCACTGCGGGTTAGACCGGCGCGTGTGCACAGGTACAGATAAGAGATAAGAGCTCACAACATACAGAATCCAAGAACTGGACTGGGAAGAGCGAGACCAGAATGGTAGGAAGGTGGAAAGGAGGGGAAGAAAGGGCTACCGATCACAATGATCAACACATCCCTCTAGGGGGACAAACAACAGACACCATGGAAAAAGGGAAACTGTGGTAAGGGTAAGATATGAAAATAATAATTTATTTACCAAGGGGTCACGGGGAGTGGGGTGAGAAGGAGCTGATACCAAGGGCTCAATAGTAAGTAAATGTCTAAATATGAATGATGGCAACATATGTACAGTGTTTGATACAATTGATGTATGGATTGTTATAAGAGTTGTAAGAGCCCCCAATAAAATGATCTTTTCATAAAAATAACAATAAATTTTAAAAAGAGACCTAGAGTTAGGTAGCACAGACAGAGACCTGAAATGAAGGCTAAGGCCATCCAAAGGTAGGGAAAGAATGAAGAAGCGGGGCTTCTCAACCGTCCGAATCATCTGGGGTCTTATGAGAATGCAGATTCTGATGAAGGTCTGAGTGGGCCTCAGATTCTACTGCAGGCCAAGAGTCACCAGAGAGTCCAAGCAACAAAGCAGGCTTAATTGGAATATAAACACGGGGACTCTGGCCACAGAACGCCAGAGTAGCATCATCACAGTGGCAAAGCACTGCAACCTGTTGTGTGCATTCTTGTTCTTCACTTGAAATTATGTTTAAAAGGGAATGCTTTCTGCATAACCGTTATTTAATTATACCCTTTTTTTTTTTTTGCTTGGTTGGTTTGAGGTTTGTTATTGGACCCGTCCCGTGCAGATTTTATGGTCTAAGCTGTGGGCCGTGCTCAATTGTTCTCCCCCACCCCACCCCACTACCACATCACCCCACATATCACTGCCCCACCATCATCCACGCCCCCTACAGACACACACCAACAACAACCCACCTTACACATCCCCACCGCCCCCACCCCACCACTATCCCACTCCATATGCCCTGCCATTCTCGCCACCCCCCCCATCCCATCCCAGCCCTACCACTCCCCACACACACTGTCCCACCACCCCAGCCCATCCCCACTTCGACACACAGGCAGCATTGCTGGGCAGCTACGAAAGCTAGCTGTCTGGCAGTGCTGGAAAGGGCACAGCCTTGAGCTCCTGGGCTCACGCCATGTACTTGGCTAGCACTTTCTACAACCACATGGTGACACCAACAGTCCAGCCCACTTGAAAGAAAGCCTCTGGAGTCAGAACTGGGCACGTGTCTTAAACGGGGGCAAATGCAGAGACCTGCAGTTTTAGGATCTGCAGCTCTCCCTGCCTCATCCACCCACGCCCTCCCTTTAATCGCAGGACCTTCAGCGCCCGAACACCACAGATCCAGGCAGAGGGCAGATGTTTTAAGGAGACGGTGCACCCAAGTGAAGAGCTTTGGGGTTCGTGCGGCCCTTTGGCATCCCACTTGCAGTCTGGGTAAAGCGTCTGCTCTTTGTACTATCAATTCCTTGAACTCAGATGGCATATTCCATCCAGACACATCATAATAATAAATCGGGTTGTGCATCGTATGAGCAGATTCCATTTCATCTACATTCTGAGCCATTGCTGAGCGGCATATACCCAACCCTGTCCTGGCAGCGTACGGCTCAAGACATCCCATCAGGACCGAATGATGCTCAGTCAGTGAGCACTCGCAGCTGTCTGGATACAAGCGCGCCATCTTCTGCTCAAACATTGTCCGTGCCGGCTGTGGGCAAGAACTACCCCGAATGACCTGCTTTTTCTCTAGCGATGACTGCCCTTGGCGTCTCCGGGTAACTACTTGGCTCTCTTCGTTCGTTCTGCAGGCTCGCTCCACGTCCCTTCTGTGAAGGGTCTCTCCGGTGTGCACGGTGACGCCAGCGCGCCCGCGGGCCCGGGTTTTCCGCCCAACGGAGCCGGTGTCGGGTTTCCGCTCCTCCTGGAATCCCGCCGCCAGCCTTCCCTCTGGAATGCTCAAAATGGAGCCTCTGGCCGCTTCTCCTTTAAAGTACTCGGGGCCCAAAGCGAAGGTCTTTGCCGTCTTCCTGTCTATGGTTCTCTGCACAGTAGTGCTCTTTCTGCTGCAACTCAAGTTTCTGAAAACGAGAATCAACAGCTTTTATGCCTTTGAAGTGAAGGATGCAAAAGGAAGGACCGTTTCTCTGGAAAAGTTTAAAGGAAAAGTAAGTGCATTGTTACGCTATCCCGCTCACGTCCCGGCTCTAGTTATCCCCCAATGTCAGCGGTGTTGGCTAATCAGTACTCATTGTAGAATTTAGCCTTCAAAGAGCTGTTAACGATGCATCGCTTCCGCTCGTAGAACTCTGATGGTGTATTGCCTTTGGATCAACTATTCACTAGTTTTCCTTAAAATGCTACCCTTTTTGTGTTAATATTTCGAGATGTTTAGAAAATGCTTACCGTTCCTAGTGTGTATACTGAGACATTTATTAACAACAGCGTCCATTGCATAGGCTAACAATATTAAAAAAGCATACTATCAGGGATCCTAGTTTTTGCTATTGTAAAAATTCACTTTTGTCAGTCCTAGATGCGTGTTTTGTGTTTGTTTGTTTGTTTGTTTGTTTTATAGCGCTGGCAAACCTCAGACTTCAGGGTGGTGATATTCTCGTAGCTCTCAAAGTGGTTTAAGTTTTTAACTACTTGCAGGATTTTTTTTTAATCTTTTCTTTTCTTTGCTTCACTTTCCGGTTGGATTTTTTTCTTTTTCCGGAAGGTCTCGCTAGTTGTAAACGTGGCTAGTGACTGCCAACTCACACACAGAAATTACTTAGCGCTGCAGGAACTGCACAAGGAATTTGGGCCGTCCCACTTCAACGTCCTGGCTTTTCCGTGCAATCAGTTTGGAGACGCCGAGCCACGCCCAAGCAAGGAGATAGAATCTTTCGCGAGAAAGAACTACCGAGTAACCTTCCCGTTCTTCCACAAGATTAAGATTCTAGGATCTGAAGCAGAGCCTGCGTTTAGATTCCTCGTTGGTAAATATCCATCTTGCCTCTCCGATGTAATGTTTTCAGTCGCCTTTCGATTCTGAATGGAGCGGGGCCGTCATTTGCTGTTTCATTTGAAATGTTTCATGAAACGTATCAAACAGCCAGAATCTCACCCAGGGAAACTAATTTCCTAGATGTTATGCTTCCCTGGAATTAAAGTTTTCATTTGTTGGACAGCAAGAGAAAAACAAACGAAAAAAAATGTTCCCCCATCAGTGTTTTCATAGCTATCTCAAATCATCTGTCATTTCCTAGAGTTTGGGGAAAGGTCCCTCCTGCTAATGAAATCCCGGAGCCTTAGTGGTGGAGGGCTGCAGGTTGGGCGGCTAGCTCTAAGGTCAGCGGATGCAAGCCACCAGCTGCTCGCAGCAGAGAGATGAGGCTGTCTACTCCCATAAACAGTGTATGTCGTGGACCCCTGCAGGGGGAGGGGGCAGGTCTACGCTGCCCTTGGCGTCTGTTAGTCAGAATTGATCCCATGGCAGTGAGGATAATTAAATTTGTATATTTCTCATGAGAATCATTGAAAATGGCTAAATTTACCTTTGTACTAATTTTATGTTACTCTGTAGTCTCAGAAGCTCAGAGGTAGGTCTACACTGTCCTACAGGGTCAAAGTGAGTCAGAAATGACTGCATGGCAGTGAGTTTGGTTTGATTTTGCTTATCTGAATCAAGGATAAATAATACTAGACCTCCAGGTTTTTTTCTACATTCAAAACAGAATAGCACTTGATTTCTTGTGGGCATGAGGTTAATATTAAGCTAATTTCAGACACCAATGTAGAGTTCCCAAGGTTAGCAAAGGACAAGCAAATCTACCTTGGCCAGAGGCAGGGGGGGGCAGACTTCATCTCACGTAGTTTGGACATGTTATCAGTAGAGACCAGTCCCTGGAGAAGGACATCATACTTGGTAAAGTGGAGCGGCAGCGAAAAAGAGGAAGCCCTTCAGCCGGATGGACTGACACAGAGGCTGCAACCATGGGCTCGGGCACAGGAACAATTGTGAGGATGGGACAGGACTGCGCAGTGTTTCCTTCTGTTGTGCAGAGTCAGTATGGGTCAGAACCAACTTGATGGTACCTAACAACAAGGCTAGCAATAGAAAGGAGTGCCGAAGTTCACAAGCTTCGGCCCTAGATTGCCTGCATTTAAATACCTCTTCTGTTACTTTTGCCGTGTGACTTTAGGCACATTACTAAACTTCTCAGCGCCTGTTTCATTTGTAAAGTGGGACTACAAATAGTACAGATCTCCTAAATTTCTTTGAAGAATTAAATAGGTTGAAGTTAAATAGGGAAAAGTAATAAATGTGTGTAAGATCAATTTAAGCAATTAAATATCTTCAAACATAACTATCTTAAACTTAAGTAGTAAAAATGATACACTTATATACAGCTTATTGTGCCAGCCATTGTGCTAAAAGCAGGGCTTCAAAGTGGTTCATTCCAGTTCAACCCTTACTGAGAATTTGTATTTCCATCCCTGATAGACTGAATCAAACTCTACATTTTAACAAGATCCCCCCCGTGATCCTTACATATACCTATAGACATATTAAAGCAAGTACACATGTGTGTACATGTGTTGTTGTTGTTAGGTGCTTTCTAGTCAGTTGCAACTCGTCTAGATAATATGCACAACAGAACAAAATGCTGCCGTCTTGCACCATGCTCATGATTGTGGTTGTGTTTGAGCCCATTGTTGCAGCCACCAGGTCAATTCATCCGTAGAGGCTCTTCCTCTTTTTTGCTGTCTCTCCACTTTACCAAGCATGATGTCCTTCTCCAGGGATTGATGTCTCCTAATAACATGTCCAAAGTACTTGAGACCAAGCCACACTCTCCTTGCTTCCAAGGAGTGTTCTGACTAGACTTCTTCCCAAGACAGATCTATTTTGGTTCTTTTAGCTGACCAGGGTCTTTCGATATTCTTTGCCGGCACGGTCATTCAATGCATCAATTCTGATTCACTCTTCCTTACTCAATGTCCACATTTCGTGGGCACATGAGGCAATTGAAAGCACCTAGTCTTGGGCGGGGCGCTTCTTAGACCTCTAGGTAACACACGTCCTTGCTTTTCAGGACTCTAAAAAGGTCTTGTGCAGCAGACTTGCCCAATGTAATGCATCGTTTTATCTCTTCACTGGTGCTTCCATGGACCTTGATTGAGGATCCAAGCAAGATAAAGCCTTAACAACTTCAATGTTTTCTCCATTTATCATGATGTTGCCTACTGGTCCAGTTATGAGGATTTTTGTTTCCTCTGTGTTAAGTTGTAATCCGTATTGAAGGTTGCAGACCTTGATCTTCACCAGCAATTGCTTCAAGTCCTCTTTTTGGCAACTAAGGTTATGCCATCTGCATCTCAAAGGTTATTAATAAGCCTTCCTCCAATCCTCATACTACGTAGATTCTTCTTCATATAGTCCAGCTTCTCTGATTAAATAAGTATGGTGAGCACACCATTCTTGATTTTAAACCACGCAGTATTCCCTTTTTCTGTTTGTACAACTGCCTCTTCAACATAAGTCAGTGTTCTGGAATTTCCGTTCTTCTCAAGGCTGTCCATAGTTTGTTATGATCCACACAGTCGAATGCCTTTGTGTAGTTAATAAAACACAACTAAACGTCTTCCTGGTATTCCTTGCTTTAAGTCCAGATCCATCTGACATCAGCAATGACATCCCTTGTTCCTTATCCTATTCTGAATCTTGCCTGAATTCTGGCAGCTCATGGTCAATGTACTGCTGCAACCATTGTTGGGTGATCTTCAGCAAAATTGTACTTGCATGTGATGTGAATGATTTGCACATTCTGTTGGGTCACCCTGATTTGGAGTACCCACTCCAAAGAATGGATCTCTCCCATTCAATTGGACAAGAAGATGTCTTCCAAATTTCTTCGCGTATGAGTAAGAGCTTCCAGTACTTCATAAGCTTGTTGAAATTTTTCATTTGGTATTCTATCACGTCCTGGAGCCTTGTTTTTGGCTAATGCCTTCTGTGCAGTTTGGAATTCTTCCTTCAATACCATCGGTTCTTTATTATATTCTACCTCCTGAAATGTTTGATTGTCGATTGTTTTTAGTGCCCTGGCTCTGCGTATTCTTTCCATCTTCTCTGGATGCTTCCTGCATCATTCAATATTTTGCCCAGAGAATCTTCCAGTATGCAGCTTCAGGCTTGAAGTTTTTCTTCAGTTCTTTCTGAATATGTTGAGCGAGTTCTTCCCTTTCGGATTCCTAACTCTAGGTCTTTGCACATTTCATTATAATATACTTTGTCTTCTCAAGCATCCCTTTGAAATGTTCTGCTCAGCTCTTTTGCTTCATCCTTTCTTCCATTTATCTTAACTGTTTTATAATTAAGACCAAGCTTTGGAGTCTCTTCTGACATCCACTTTGATCTTTCCTTTCTTTCCTGTCATTGTAATGACCCTTTGCTTTCTCCAGAGGGATCTCCTCCCACAGCTCATCAAGTCTTATGACCTTAGTGTTCAATGCATCAAATCTGCTCTTGAGCTCTTCTTGAAATTCAGGTGGGATGTTCTCAAGGTTGTATTTTGGCTCTTGTGGGGTTTGTTTTGATTTTCTTCAGCTTCAACTTGAACTTACATATGAGTGATTGATAGTCTGTCCCAAAGTAAGCCCATGGCCTCCATTTACCTGTGTAGTAGCTACATAATCTGTTGTTAATTTGAAATGATTAAGCGTGAAGAGGTGGAGTTTAGCCTATCAATCAGGTCAAAACTTGATGATCTCATTTGGAGGTGCTAAAGAGATAAATAGCTTGCTGGAAGTGGGACACATATACACTCCCTGGGAGACATTGCCGCTGACAAGACACATGAAACTACCCTAGCGCCCAGAGCTGAAGGATCCACGTGGAGACCCCCTGCCAGAGATGAGATGCTTCCACCACCACTGGATACTTAAGACTTCCCATCCACTGGCCTGTGATCTTCCTGCATTCGCCATCATTGCATGTGTTTCATGAGTCTGAAGAGGACTTTAGAGATTGGTATCGGACATATGAACTAATATTGGACTGATGGCTTTTATCTGGGCTGGGATGCTTTCTCAATATTCAATTGCTCTCGTATATAAAGCTCTTTCCTATAGACATGTGAGTCTGCCCTAACACAACCTGAGATTCACCTTCTCCATTGTCTTGTCCCACAGAGGCAGTCAATTTCATTTCTGTGTATTTCATCTGGAAAAGTCCACATGTGGTCACTGTTTGTGTTGTTGAACAAAAGGTACTGGCAGTGAAGAGTCCTGTCATTCAATCCCCAGCTTCCTTTCTCTCACCAAAGCCATATGCTGCAGCCACAGCTCCTTCCTCTGTTTAGTCCAGCTGGTGCATCCCAGGCCGCAGTCTCATCACTGCATCTTGGTTGCATGCTTCATCAAGTTCAGACTAAGAAATGGTAGAATTCTTCAATTTCTTCACCACTCGCTTGAGTGGTTGGTGCATACGTTTGAATAATCACTGGATTAACTGATTTCCTTGTATATGTGTAGATCCGGTCCTATCACTGACCACAGTGTACTTCCAGGTAGATCTTGAAATCTCCTTTTCCTTTATTTTTAGAAATGTCCTTTTCTTGAAGATGAATGTGACACCGATCCTACTGAATTTCTTGTTCCTAAACCATGTGATCGTCTGTTTCAAAATGGCCAACCCCAAGCCATTTCAGCTCACTAATGCCTAGAACTTCAATTTTATGGGTTCCATTTCCAAGATTCATACTTCGGACATTGCAAGTTTGCAGCTGTGTATTGTCCTTCTGAGTCACGCCCCATGGATGGGCACACGGAGGCCCCAACAGCTTTAATCCATCCCTGTCCTTACGGCCGACTCTATGTTGAGGAGGCAGCTCTTCCTCAGTCCTACGTTGAGTGCCTTCCGACTCGAGGGGCTTGTCTTCTGGCCTGATCTCGGACCGTGTTCCGCTGCTCTTCTTGAGGTGTTCAGTGTCTGGCGAGGTCCTGTGCTGCTCATCAGTTTTTCAGTAGCTAATCACTAAGAAGTCGAAA